TCGTACCCCTCACTATGTTTTAATATAGTTTCAGCTGTTTATTAATTGCCTTTTTTGAGTTTCGTCTCTCATCTTTAATCGGATTCAAATTGAATTTTCAAATCTGTCAGATTAGATAAAGATCTGAAAACTAAAATCGAAACTGAAATATTTCTTTTTAATAAAGAAAATCTTTTCTGGTTTTTTCTAGATCTGAATTATATTTTTCTTTATTAAAGAGAAATTTTTCAGGTTTTTTTTTAGATATGAATTATGTTTTTTTTTTAATAAAAAGAAACTTTTTAGGTTTTTTAGATCTGAATTATGTTTTTCTTTAATAAAAAAAAATATTTTGGATTTTTTTTTAAATCTGAATGTTTTTCTTTAAAAAGAGAAAATTTTCAGTCTTTTATAGAATTGAATTATGTTTTCTTTTATTAAAGAGAAATTTTCAGATATTTTTTTAGATCTAAATTATATTTCTTTTAATAAAAAGAAACTTTCTGTCTTTTATAGAATTGAATTATATTCCTTTTATTAAAGAGAAACTTTCAGGTCTTATTTGGATTCAAATTATATTTCTCTTTAAATAAAAAAAACTTTTTTAAATCTGAATTATATTTCTTTTTAATAAAAGAAACTTTTTGGATCTTTTTTTAGAATCAAAAAATGTTTCTCTTTATTTAAGAGAATCCAGTCGGGTTGGGTTCTTTTAAAATCTGAATTATATTTTTTTTTATTAAAAAGAAACATTTTAGACCTTTTTTTTAAAACCGAAAAACATTTTCTTTTATTAAAGAAACTTTTTAGATCTTTTTTAGTGAATTACATTTCTTATTAAATAAGAAATCTTTTTAGATTTAAATTATATTTTTTTTTAAAAATAGAAAACTTTTCAGGTATTTTTAAATCTAAATTACATTTCTCTTTAATAAAAAGAAACTTTCAAATCTTTTTTAGAATTGAATAATATTTCTTTTTATTCAAGAAAAAATTTTCAGGTCTTTTTAAGATCTAAATTTAATTTTTCTATATTAAAGAAAAATATTTCAGATTTTTTTTAAACTAAAAAATATTTCTTTTATTAAAAAGAAATTTTTTTGATCTCTTTTTGATCTGAATTATATTTCTTTTTAAATAAGAAAATCTTTTCTGATTTTTTTTTAGATCTGAATTATATTTCTTTTTAAAAAAGGAAATCTTTTCAAGCTTTTTTTTAAATCTGATTTTAAAAAAGGAAAACTTTTTAAATTTTTTTAGATTCAAATTATGTTTCTTTTTAAAAAAAAGAAACTTTTCAGGTCTTTTTATTAGAACTAAAAAATGTAGTTCTTTAATAATTAAAAACATTCAGTTATTTTTTAGAATTGAAAATGTTAATGAAAAATGTTTTTGAATGTTTTTTAGAATTGAAATAAGTTTCTCTTTAACATTTATTTGATTTCAAATTTGAAATCATTAGATTAAAATTTGGATTAGTTAGATTCAGATCAGATTCAGATACGAATTCAGATATGATTCAGATTCAGATTCAGATTTATCAGATTTTGCCTAAATATAATCTGATCTGATTTATGCGGAATACTAATTTTAATGTTCTTTGAATTAAGAACTTCACAAAAATTTTTAATAATCCTTATAAAAAATCAGCTTTTATATTATAAGTATTATAGCACATCACAATTAAAATAACATTTGTTTTTTATTTTACAATAACAATAAAAACTGAAATCTTAATAATACTATATTTATTTATCTAAATCATCATTAGTAAGATTTTTAATATTTTTAAAATCTCTATAACTTCACCAATTTTAAATAACTTAAACAAAAATAATAAGAAATTCTTTTATTTTCATTATTATTAAATAAATTTGAATCATTTAAATATTAAATTAATTATATTTCTATTGTAAATATAAGTAAAAAGATGATAATAATAAATTTTATGCATTATATCTTTAGATATTTAATAGAATTAGAAACATAATTTATTATAAAATAAAGTTTTTTCTATTATTTATTATATATATTACTTCTTTTTATTTTTTAAAAAATTAAATCAAATAATTTTAAATAAATAACTTATTATTAATTTTGATGATATACTTTATTACTAATTTTATCAAAAAGTTTGCTATTTATTTATTATCCCACGTGACCGGTAACATTTAAGGGAAGTGAAAACAAATATTTTTTAGCGGTGAAAAAATTCTAAGTCCCGGTTCATTTTTAAGCAGTATCATAAAACTGATATTTATTAATTATAATTTGATCATTTTATTAATAAAAATTTGAGATATTTCCATTTATATGTAAAAAATATGCGTAGACTTTTTGTTATATATTCTGTACAATGTTCATCTTTCTATAAATGCATACTTATATTTATATAGATGTTAAATGCGGGAGTAGAGGTTTTTTTTTATCGGAATTAAGAACAAATTATGTATTACAATTATGCTCCAAATATAATTACTCAACGCATTCTACAATTATCCGGGAAAAATTTGTTGACTCGAAATAATTTTGTTCTAAACAATATTAGTAAAAAGGTTCAGCTTATTTTACCACGTACTTTTGCTACTTCTATAGAGAGCAATACGGAAATTCCAGCAAAGAAACACGCTCCAACAAAAGAAGTTAATTTTACGGTAGATAAATACACATATCTACGTAGAAAAAATTTCAAAGAGGCAAGCATATTTTCATTCAATTAAAATAAATTAAGTAAAGACCTGAACTGAATTTTTTAAAATCATTAGCTTACTCAAGATGATATCAAATTTTTTACTTCAATTTTACCCGCAAATGGATTAATTATTGATAATGAAGATGATTTGATGCCTTATAATATTGATTGGATGAGAAAATATAGAGGAAAATCACGTTTAGTGGTAAAACCTAAAGATACACAGCAAGTTTCTCAGATACTTAAATATTGTAATGACAATAAATTGGCTGTAGTGCCGCAAGGTGGTAACACGGGACTTGTTGGTAAGCGTATATAGTAAAAACAATTATATTTATTATACTTCAGCTGAACATTTAATTTTCAAATTGTAGGTGGCGGAGTGCCAGTGTTTGATGAAATTATTATTAACACTAATAATTTGAATCAGATCAGAAGTTTTGATCCAATTTCAGGTGAGGACGAATAAAGTTGGATAACTTATTGATTGGAAACTTTATGTGATACATTCACATTTATAGGTGTTCTTACTTGTGATGCCGGATGCATTCTGGAGGTTCTTGATAGATATTTGGCTGAGCGATGTTATATGATGCCATTAGATTTAGGTGCAAAGGGCAGGTAAAAATTACCCTTAAATTCTTATAATTATCTTTTCTCTTCAATTGAGTTCATTCATTTATTTTATTTTATAAAGTTGTCATATTGGTGGAAATGTGGCAACGAATGCTGGTGGATTAAGATTACTTAGATATGGATCGCTTCATGGCTCTATTTTAGGGCTGGAAGCGATATTGCCGGATGGAACTATTTTGGATAACTTATCTACACTTCGTAAAGACAACACAGGTCGTTTTATCAAAGTTTTCAAAAGAAGTTATGTTTAATATTTTCTTATCAGTTATTATTTTTTTTATTTAGGTTATGATTTAAAACAACTATTTATTGGAAGCGAAGGAACACTTGGAATCATTACAGGTGTTTCCATATCTACTCCACGAAGGCCAAGAGTAAGCGAAAATTTGACATTAAATATATAAGTTATGAAACATTAACATTTTAATCATTCTGATTTTTAGGCTGTAAATGTTGCCGTTCTCGGAATTAATTCATTTCAAAATGTACAAAAAGCATTTATGACATCAAAAGATGAATTATCTGAAATCCTTTCAGGTAATAATATTTTATTAATTTCGTCATATCTTAACTTTTGATCAATTAATTAAATTATCTTTGCTCTTTTGTAATATAGCATTTGAATTTTGGGATATGAATGCCTTGAACTTGTTGAAAACACATAATATCCAAGGGACAAAATTTCCATTGGAAGATCATTATCCGTTTTATGTATTAGTTGAAATAAGTGGATCAAATAAATCCCATGATGATGAAAAATTACACAATTTCCTAGAAAATCTTTTAACGAATGAAATAGTTACGAATGGAGTTGTAGCACAAGACGATACACAAATAGCGCGTTTTTGGTCATTACGTGAAGGTATTCCGGAAGCGTGTAGTAAAGCTGGAGCTGTTTATAAATATGACATAAGTGTGCCGGTACCTGTACTTTATCAAATGGTCAAAGATGTTAGAATTAGATTGCAATCTGCTGGAGTGCTTGGTGAAGATAAGTTGGTTAGCGATGTAATAGGTTATGGACATATTGGTGATGGTAAGTTAAAGTTTCTTCGAGGAATTTAATTATGGAAGTGTTTTAAAATTATATTAAAATTTTTTTTCCTTGATTTAGGAAATTTACATTTGAATATAGTAGCCAATACTTATGATCCTAAAGTTACTAATTTAATCGAGCCTTATGTATATGAATGGACAGGTACGTTATGATAATATTTATAATTTATAACATTATGTCTATGTAGAAATATTAACTTTTTCTTTAAAAGAACAACATAATGGATCCATATCAGCAGGTAATTGATTAATTAGCTGTATAATGTCTCACTCATAACATATTGTCTTAAACTAATATTTTCATTACAGAACATGGACTTGGGTTTATGAAAGCAGAATATTTAGGATATACAAAATCGCCTTCCATGATTTCTTTGATGAAACAAATTAAGCAAAGTATTGATCCCAATGGAATTATGAACCCTTATAAATTCTTACCAACACGATAAATAATAATTGAATAATTTTTTAACCAATAAATACTTAAATGTAAAGCACTAAATTAAATAAAAAAAACTTTTCAAAATTTTTGTGTAAATATGGTGCAAACGGTTTAGTCACATCAAATGGCTAAGCTACTGCTGAAATCTTGTCGATCATTACCATATTAAATCAAAATTTGATTGGTCGAAATTCTAGCACGTGACTAATTTTAATCATGTGATACTAATTAAATCATGACATTTTGCGTCATTTTACATCATTTGCGTTAACTATATTTCAATTTAATAAAATGTCAAAATGAAATAAACGTACTAGACAGTCCCGAGAAGCCATCAAGAAACGTTGGAAACAAGCAAAAAATTCTGAAGAAATAATGCTTGAACCATCAGATGCTAAACCTGATGAATTTGATGAATCATGGCTTGGCATTTTTGGACAGAAGGTGAGGAAGCATCTTTTGATAGTGATGAAATTACAAATGAAATGCAAGCATAGAAACCAGGTATACTACAACAACTAGTCGAAAATGCAAAATCACATGCATGGGCTGTAGATTCGCGTAGGCCAGTATACATTGATGATGCAGAATCAACATTACATAACAAAAGGTATATTAGAGAAAAACAGTTTCGGGTTCTAAGAAAATCACTGAAATGTTTCTAGCAAATGAAGTTGCTAAGTCTAATACAAACAATACAAATAACGATGATCCCACATTTGATGTATGTGATAGTAGCAATGATGATAATGAATTTACGTTGGAATCACTAGATTTTTTATTAAAAAAAAGAAAGATGATTTGTGACTTCGGATGGTAAGTCAATTTCTCTATTTAGCTTAGGACCAAGGATACACAAAAATGGATGCAAGTAATATTCTTACCTAGAGCTTGAACAAAGGTCTATAGCAAGCATAGCTTATCCACTCCTAGACAAACCAATGGCTATATAATGATATAATTGTTTTGTTTAAATGTAAACGATATGCAAAAATAAGGTCCTTCCTTTTGCATGAAGACGTTAAATTACGAGTTACTAAATACTTATGTGCATATAAATTCACGTTAAACATTGCTGATTTCGTAAAATTCATTGAGGATGAGGTTATCCCTGCTATTGGAATAGAAGAAAGGCAAGTATCTCTCATTCAACTGCACGTGAATAGCTGCATATGCTTGGTTAGGAATATAAGGATCACTCAAAGAATATTTACTTTGATGGTCATGAATGTGAAGACTATATATGAAGTCAAAATGAAAACCTAAAAGTCGAAATGTTTCGACTTTGGAGGTCAAAGTCGAAATGAAAAATCAAAATGGTCAAAATTACGTCATATCTAGGGTTGCTTGTCTAAACTCATTTTGGATTTGGAAAAATGGTAAAACCTTTAGTTTCACTAAATTTTTACTAAGTGTTT